TTTTTTTTTTTTTTTTTTTTTTTTTTTTTTTTTTTTTTTTTTTTTTTTTTTTTTGTATTTCGAGTTGACCGGGGGAGAGAGAAAAAAAACAAAGCACCTGCGCCTCCTCCCGAGGAAACGACGGGTTCAGCCGTGGAGTGAGGCCGTCTTGCATCTTAGCCTCGTAGGAGCAGTTTGGCCGCACATCGGCCGACGGGTAGTTGCAGTGTTGCTGCTGTTGTAGGAAGACCATGTGTCTGTTGCTCGCGCTCTGGCTCGCGGCTTTACGGAGGAAAGGTAAACGTGATAAAAAAAAATATATATATATTTGTATTTGTTTCGATGAAAAAGAGAAAAAAACATTGGGTACTCACGAAAAGGAACGCTGCAGAATTGTCCCCAGGCCGAAGTAGCGTGGGAAGCTAAGCTCGGCATGCCCCTGTTCAAGCTGTTCATCTTCGAGATGAGCGCGCTTCGCGAGTGATAGCCGCTCATTCCGTTCTGTAAGAGCAAACGTTTTATTACTTTTTATCACTGCCTCTATACTATTGATGTCCCTGTACGCATGCTGACCTGATAGGGGTGCCATTTTTGGGCTTCGGACGAGTAGTCGTAAGCTGCTGCGTCCTGAGCCCCGTGACTCGTAGGATAGTCACCGGCATGGTGCTGGTGATAGCTGGCGACGGTACCGGCTGCCGACACACCCGAAAAATCCGTGGCCCCGCACTCCAGCTGCTTCCTTATCACGTCCTTGGTCTTGTCCAGGGTGCGCTGATGGGCAGCCATCACCTGTGTGTTTTGTCACAAGGAATGATGATGACACGGGCAGGCATTGTATCGCCCCGTTATACCCGTGCGCGTGGAGCTTAACGATTTGTCCGTCATTGTGTGAGTGTGTGTACAGGTGTGGCCCTGCTGGGTACGGTTCGAATGAAAACATCGTTACGGCAACGCGGAGCAGTAAAAAAGGACCAATGACGAAATAAAACGATCACTGCGTGGGGGGGGGGGAAAGAAAAAAAGAAAAAAAAAAGCCGATGTAAATGTTCCAATGATCGAAAACGCATGGTCGATCGCACGCTCGAATGAAAAGCGGTGGTCTTCGATAACCCCTCGGTATAAACATACATATATGTATACATAACGAGGTAAATAGAGGGTCGCAGTAGTAACGGTCGATCGTAGGTAGGCCGCGCGTGTCCAAGGGAGGTGGGGGTTGGCTTAGCCCGACGTAGACGTTTGCACGCTATATGTGTATACGGTACACACAGGAGCGGTGTATACATCGACAAAGTCCATACCCATATACGAAGTTTATCTCGGCATATAGAGGGGGTGGGGTGGCAGTGGAATTTTGCGCGCTCGCCGTCGCTGGCTGCTGCTGGAGATAAATCAATCGGGCCGTCACGTGGCCTTCGTGGGTATACATGTACACACCCACCGTGTGTCGGCGTGACGCCGGGTGTCGCGTGTACATCACCTACATACATGTGTGCGCACACCCATACGTATATACACTGTACATAACCTATGGGTGGTATACTCGAGGGAGAAGAGCCCGGGGTGAGACGCGTGTGGGTGAAGCGTATCGATTTGCGAGAGGGTTGGGTTGGTCGCTGCTTCTATAGGGTTGGGTGAACATATGTATGTATGTATGTATGTATGTGATCACCCACGTATGTGTTTATTCATGTATACCTACCCTGGGCGAGAGAATGGGCTTGGGATGAGTGGCCGGCGAGCTGGCGGCAACACCGTTGGCAGCAGCGGGGGGCAACGGGGGCGGCGGAGGCGGCGGAGCCGGCGGGCTCGAGACGGTGAACCACGACGGGTTACCGTTGCCACTGCTGTTGCTACTGTTGTTATTGTTGTTGTTGCAGTTATCATTGTTGTTGTTGGTTAAACTGCCGTTGCCGTTGGTGTTGCTCGGACCGCCGGCCGGTGACTGTTGCTGCTGATGCGGCCTTTGGACTTGGTGTTGCTCGCGACTTTGGTCCCGCATTGCTTTGCGTAGCCGGGCCTCCTTAGGATTGTACACGTAATCTGCAACATGTATTATATTCCAGGTGTTAATAGCCCGTTGACGCCAGTTGATCGATTTTAAATGAACTTGCTTGATATTTATAATCTATTTTCTCATTTAGTTTCGATTATTTTATCAAAACGGGGATCAATCGAATGCGCGTACGAGAAAAAGCCCGCGCTTTTGGGTTACGCGACGACGACAGTATAGTTCATATATATATTATATATTTGTACATGCGAGCTGTTTTACAAAACATTAAGTACCGAGCAAAAGTCAATAAGAAAAGAGGTGCGACTATATTGTCTTCAAGCTTTTATAAGTTTTTTGTTTGTTTTGGGACAGTTTTTTGACAAATATTTTTGTCAGAGAAAATGCTTCTCTCAAAAAGAGACCAGCTCAAAGCGTGAGTTGTTTTTTAAAAATATTTTTGTACTCCTGTGTACAGGTATAACTATTCCAGAGACTCCGAGGCAGGTATTTTGGCGTGGAATCGCTCGTATACACCTATACACACGTGCAGCCGAGGCTTATAAATTTAAGCTGTATTGATTTTATAACTGCTGCTACTGCATCGTCAGGGAAAAGTATGAAACTTGATGATTTCGTGGCTTGTGCCGCGACGATCGTCCTTTCGATCGAAACAATTTTCATCGATCTCGAAATCATGTTTGTAAGTATACCGTATATCTTTATGAGCATGAGCGTGCGTCGAAGAATGTGCGACACGAGTGACAAAATATTTTTCCCGGTAACCTCATTGTTTAGGTAACAAGGCTAAGCCGCGGATGGAAGCGTACTCGTTACTTTCAATAGGATTTTCTCGCGACAATATAGAGTGCACGAAAAAAAGAAGAAAAAAAAAAAAAAAAAAAGAGCACTGGACGCGCACGCGATAGGCACATTGTTATTGTAATGGTCGAAATGTCGGTTACGCGCTCCGCACAAAGGCGCTCTTTCAACCTCTGACATTCATATCGTATATAAGTATACCCCTGGACCTTATCCGTAGGTATATACGTTCAGTGATACGCGTCTCGTCCAAAGTATACGCTCTTGGGGCCCGAACGATTTCGATCTAAAACCCTCACCGCGTCAATAACTATATTGTTTGGGTGATTTGAAACACGAGCGAGCTTGCCCGGGGTTACATTTCATGAATGAAAGTACCACGGAAGTGTCTGTTAACGGTCGTCCACGAGAGGCTGCACTGAAAATTAAATCGATAATCGCTCGCACAAGGATATGAGTGCCCCCCCCCCCGCACACTTATACAGTCGCCCGATCGATGGGCGGATTGTTGCGCTTGTGCGACCTTTTCACCGAAACACGCTATACGTTTATTTATAGATGTTCTCCCGTGAAGCGCGAGTCTCGTTTCGATCCCTTCCTTTGCACGGCTTTTGACAGCAAGAGGCGGAGATGGTTGCTCGATTGCCGCCACTGACCGCAATCGAAAGCTCTCGATGGAGGTGTCGTAAACAAAAGCGGGGTATATACGTACAAAAGTTGACGAGCGGCCCGCAGGTGGATAAACAGCGCCGAAACAAAAGGGCACGTATTATATATACCCAAGAAAGTAAGCTTAGTAGGGCTCTCGAGCTCGACGACAATAGTTCACGAGGATTAAACAAAGAGACCGAATTAAACAGAGAGAAAAAAAAGTGATCTCCCATATAGTGGTAAGTATGTATATGTATTATTGGGTACCGGTCGGATGATAGGCAGACGGCGAGAGCAGGCCGCAACCGTAGGGCCTGGGACTGGCGTAGGGCGCGTAGGCCTCGTAACAGTAGGGCTGCTGCATCGGCCTGCCCGTGCCATGCTGGTGATTGTTGTACTGTTGCTGATGAGGCTGATGATAGCCGTGATTATGATGCAGCTGTTGTTGTTGTTGTTGTTGTTGTTGTTGTTGTTGTTGTTGCTGTTGTTGCTGTTGTTGCTGTTGTTGGTGGTGGTGGTAGAGGTGGTGATGGAGCTGCTGCGGCTGCTGGTAAAAGTACGACGGTTGCATGTAGTTGCAGCAATCCATGCTTCGGACGGCGGCAAAGACGGGAAGGAGGAATCAAGAGGACCGCGTCTGTCTTTTCCCTTAGCTGGCTCTCGGGCGCAGCTTACTCGTCAACTCCACCGATGGACAATCAGGACGGGCCGCGCACGTGTGCGAGCCCCCCGCAATGGTCAAAGTAGGCCCTCGGGCCCGAGCACTGCACCTCATCCCCGTCATAATATATTATTATACCTACACGTAGAACCGACCCGCTGGCCAACAACACCCGCGTAACGTGCTTCTATTTATTTACTTCTCTCTTCGCTAGTTATACATACCACATACGATACACGTATCGCGCGCGCGCGCGCACGATACAGCGCTGTATGTATATTATAATGCACAATTTGTGTGCAACCGGCGCGCACAAGTCCGCGAATAAAGCTCGACTCGGCTGGCGGTCGTCGGCACAATGCGGCCGCGGAGCAGCCCGCGGGACAGTGAGCAACACCACGACCACTGTGGCCGTACTTTTAATACATGTGAGCTTTCGAGCTTGCCTCCTCCCCGCCCCCTCTCTCGCGCGCGCTTGAGCTTTTCTGCTCGTGCGCGCGCACGGCCGGTGGTTAACTCTGCTCCGATCGAGGGCACCCGCTGTACTGATGCTGGCGTAGCCAGCTGCTCCTCTTTACCACGCGCCCAACCAAGTATACAATATATATATATATACACCTGCTCCCTCTTTCTCTTATTTGGCTGCATGATGCTCATTGAGCTTCTTGCGTTGCACGTGGACACTATGCTCACCTGCCTTGTGTAGGCAAATATATTTGTGAGCTCATTAGGTAATATTTCGATTCGATGCAATTCGGGTTGAATCACTCCTGTAAAGTCAACGGCGTGAAAGAACTGGGAGAGCTTGCAGGCAGCCGGCACGGGGATTCCCCTTGGTTCGTACGGGCCGCCGGCGTCGCGAAAACGGTCGAGTCGATTCGAGGCGGAACGACACACACGTCCTCTCGCTGCTGGATCGTTGCAACCGACCCACCCCCTTTATCCTTGCGTACAAACATAATGTGTGTATGTATGTAAACTCTGTGCGCCGATGCAAGGGCGTGGAGAAAAGAGAACGAGGTGTGTGAGCGCTGCAGAGTGGGCCAGTAGGCTGATACGAGTTGAAAGAGCGAGATAAAGAAAACTGCAATCGATAGCCGCTATGCGCCCTCGCTCGAGCTCCACCACCCCCCCCCCCCCACACGAATTGCTGATGGTGTCGTTCTGTAGCTCGCTCACCTTCCTCGCGAATTTCTGTTACCGGTACAGCGGTACTTTGTAAGCACCCACGTATTTATATACATATAATAATGTGCGCCCTTGGATGCGTTTCGCTGATGTTGATGAACGTTATGTATGGTATAGGTGACCAAGTACGTACCGATCTTTGTGTTTTCTCCTCGGAAACATCGGTTACCCGATGCGCTCGTAAGAAGCGGCATATAGGTATTTTTTATCGCAAGATTTTAAAAAAAAAGTCGCTGACGAACGTGGAATACGAAAAGGAAAAAAAAAACCTCCCCGTGTCGCCAACTGGAAAGGAAAAGTAATACGGCGTACGATAGCTCGTCCTCAAGTTACTCAATCTCAACGGCAAAAGTAATAAGGTTTATCATAACAACAGAATGTCAGCTCACCACGTGGAGCGGAGCATAACTCCACACATCCGTTTACGAGCAACGATAAGAGATAATAATGTATACACATTCTCATATGCGTATGTGTGCCTATACTATACGATATCCATGTGCAGCAAGTATACTCGTACAATACTCGGAATAACGATCTCGAGTTTCCCTGTAGGAGCTATTGCACGACGATGATGATAAGCGAGCGCGTTGTTTCACCCGGTCGCAAGTGATTATATATAGGTATATATTATACATCAAAATCTCTCTTTTCATCTCCGAGTATAAGAACTGCCTCTCTCTTTTTTTTTTTTTTTTTTTTGCTCCTGTTCGTATTGTTCGTAACTACGATATCTGTACCGGTGCTGCGGCTCGAGTTTCGCCTTGGCCTTTCTATTCCTGCCTCCCCAGCACGGCTCGTCCGAATATTTTACGGGCGTGTCGGTGAACCCGCCGGCGTCGCCCCGGCGATTTTCGAAACATCATTTTCTCCGGTACAGGGCATACTCTACATACGGGTATCTACTACATGTATCAAACATGCACACGAGGAATACAAAGGTGTGCGAAAGGGGGGTGGCAAGCTCGGAGTGGCTCTTTGGGAGGGAAGAGCGTGTAAGCCATTCCTTCCTTTCGCCACGAGATCCATGTTCAAGTGACGCGGTGGCGCTCATTCCTTTTTTCTTTATGCTTGGGAATTTTTTTTTTTTTAGGCATGTAAATCCCTCGGTACCGTGCGGTCTTTCAAGGTGATTGCCAAACGCTAGGACCGACGAAACATCGGGAGCCCAAAAAAAAGAATAAAAAGGAGCAGCCGGAAAACGAAGGGAGGGCGACAAGAGGACGATGATCCCCCCCGTTACGCGCCCGTCAAGTGCGCACGCGGGACGAGCAGATTTTCGTTGGGTCATGCTGTGGTACACCTACATGATATGATATACGTATGTATGTATATGTACACGGGTCCCCGGCACTTTTCAGGGAAAAGGCAAGCAGCTCCCTTAACGACGCCGACGACAGCGGTGGGCTTCCTCCTTCCTCTCCTCTTTTTCCTCGTCTATTCGTCTCCCGGTACTGCACGCGGCTCGATATTTTCAACACCACCCCCCCCCTCCTTTTTTCACCTCGCAACGCCACCCCCTCTCCACCGAGGACATGCAGATTGATCTTCTCGTTCTCTCTCCCTCCTCCCTCTTTTTCCGTCACGTGTATACGTACTGTACACGGCTCTTCTTTCCTTTCCCCGTGGCTCGCGGAAAAGCCGAGAGAACGGCGTGGCGCCACCCTTGCACCCTTTGGCCGTATAGGTACATAAGCCATGCAGGGATGCAAGGAGCCGAGAGAGCAATCGACAACTTTGTACTTTGAAAAAGGTACAAAACGAAGCGAGTCGATCGGTATTGTCATCACCGAGATCGGTATGCGCGTTCGACCCGATTCGCCCGATCTGTTTGGACCGCACGGAGCGATCGATCCTCCCCGGGTGAGGAGTTTTCAAACTGCCACATACATGGTCCACCTTTTTTTTTTTTTTACCATGTATCTTCTAGTCGCCAGATGTACGGAGGAACATCCAATGTACAAAATGTATAGCCTGGGAGGTGTATACAAGTGGAGGGCGAAAAGGAAAAAAAGAGGCCGTGGGAAAGGGTGAAAAAAAAAAAAAAAAAAAATGGGGGAGTGGAGGAGAGGGAAGCATCGCTCTTTCAGTGTGCCCGCCTGCCGCCACTGCGCGCTGCCGTACCGAGCGAAAGAGGTATAGCGAGGTGTGGGGTGGGTGTCGGCGGTTCAATACGTCTGTCTGCGCGCCTATCGATCCCCCGACGAACCTATTTGTCTTAATTCCCTGGCTCGCTCGCGTAACTAGCGTATACACGCTCCTCGACAAGTGGACATATCATGTACGAGGCTGTGGTCCGATGATGGTCGGGTTTTCTTGTTGGCATTTTCCACCGACAACTACGGAGAACGAGCCCTCGGTTTGACATCGTCCAACTAAACATAACGCCAGTTCGATCGAGCTTTTTTGCGATTTCAATTGGTACTTTTGCGCTTTCGCTCATCGTGGAAAAACAATGGATTGGGTTTAATTCTTTGTTTTTTTTTTTTTTTCCAAAATTTTATTTTCCGCAAACCTACGTACTTAAATTATCAAGTACATGGGGGAGGAAAAGGCGCTCACTTTGTCGCATTATTCGACCGAGAGAGAGAGAGAGAATGTAATGCATACGTTTACGCACAGCCGCATATATGTATTGATTTAATTGAAACGTGTTGGTTGCGCACAGGAGTGGCTTCTTCCGCTTGCTTATTGTTTGTCGAGAAAAAGCGAAGCGCGTGTACCCACCCTCCCCCGATTCTTTGTACGTAGACGAAGAAATTCACGTCGGATCCCAACGAGTTTTGCGCGCTTTCTTTAATTCCCTGCACGTATAGATGAGTATAAGCGGAAAAAAAAAAAAAAAATTAAGTTTCCCAAGTATAATTTTTCGTAGAATTCCTCGTGTATGCACAACTGCGCCACCCCAAAAGACGATTGAAATTTGTATAGGGGCAGCGATGTACTTAGTGATTTTTGGAAAAAAAATTTCCAGTTACCACGTACACACGATCGGCAGAGGAAAATCGAAAAGAGACACAGAGCCAACGATCGATCAACGACGCAGCCCAGTGAAACCCAGGAGAGATCTCTCTCCTCTCCAGTTTGATTGCACGCACGAATTGATACATGTATCACACTCGCTCATCGGCCAATTGTACTTGAAATTTATTAAATGCCTACCCTCTTCCTCCGATGACATCGAGCGGAGGGTTTTCGAGAAAAAAGTAAAGCACCCTTTTCGACGATCGTTGTGGGGGGAGATAAGGGGTAATCGCCGTTAGATTGCGCAATCGAGTCGGTACGAGTACAACCCCCCCCCCTTCGCTCGATCGATTTATAGGAAATCCGCGGCACTGCTGTACCATGCACAGCTACAGGTAGACGAAACAGCCACCGGAGACCGGAACGAGAGCCCCTGTGCATGTATATATATATATATAGGTACTCGGGGCCGAGATAAGCCTCCCGGAGCGGGAGGTATAATGTACGAACGCGGGAGTCTGATTGAAACGCACACCCACCGCCGGCCGAGACGCCCGCGGAAAGAGCAAAATAAGGCGAGGGGGGACAAAAAAAAAGAAAAAAAAAAAAAGGAGATAAGCGACGACGCCGTTCTTCTCTCGCAATGAATAATAACGAACGCGAGATGTAGGGGCACTCAACGAGGGATGTAGTGCACATCGCATCAGGTATTGAAAAGCGCGCGGACATGTAGGAGAAGAAGCGGAGGCTCTTCTATATATATATAATATACAGTATAGGGTTATACGGGGGTGGATGAGCGCGTTGTCGTCGGGCTGGCTCCTCTCTCTGCCGCAGAGCCGAGTGGAGGAGGAGGAGGAGAGCGGCACACGTTGCACGCCCGCCCGGCTTGGGGCTAGGTATTGATTTCGAGCCTCTCGTGCATCGACCACTACCTCGTACGTGTAGGCGTTCTACCTGTACACGCACACGCGCTCTGGCTCTTTTTTTTTCCCTCGTCTCGCGACCGTATCACTATACGCGCACAGTGAGGGGTATATACGGTGGCGGCAAGCGAATGTCACGGAAAAAAGACAAGTATCCCCGGATTGGCCGAGATTTACGAAAAGGGCTTGTTTTACGAACCTGGGTAGCGTCTCTTGTGCTCGGCGTCGACCTCGCGCGCCAGGGTAAAGTACTTTTCCTTGTCCTCCTTGGGCATGGTTTTCCAGAGGCCTCCGAGTCTGAATTTACGAATAAAATACGTACCGAGTACATGGATGCCTACAGGACCCGGGGTAATGAGGGAAAAAGAATGCATGCGTGTCACACTAGCCTGACGCTTATGTCCTTGTTGGATTCGCGCGGGTTCTCCCCGGCGAGTTTTTTCCTCCACTCGTTGGCGAAGAGCATGAAAGCGTTGGCCGGCCGGGGTATCTTTCGCCCGACTCCCTCCCGAGCCTCGATCTCCGGCAGCGCGACCAGAGGGCCCAGGGCTGGCTCCACGCGAATCCGCAACCCGCCGTCACTCTCCGTGAACACGACCTGGCACTTTTCCCCTCCGATCTCCGGTTTTCGCGCGAGTCGGATCAGCCGCTTGCCGTCGCTCGCCACCGCGAACACCTGCCCCTGCGAGTCCTCGCGATGCCGATTTCCCGATACCACTGCAAGGTGCTTGTTTTCTTTTCTTTTCTTTACAACGATCGGTATACTAAAGCCACGGCACTCTCACCCTTGTCCACCAAACTGACGAGATAACGATGATGCTTTTCCATGTGTGACTTTGTTGTAGCCTTGCAAACGACACTTTACGAGAGAGCTTGGGTGATACACCTAAGATGCCGGTTGATGCATTATTGAGCGCTTTTGTTGCGGCCCGCGATCGTCGATCGTCTTCGTTGTTGTTTGGAACAAAAGACGATCGGACGGTGCGTCGTCAAGAGAGGCTGATCTAGTAGGTATACCCGACAAGTGCCCGAGGCACGAACAAACGACGCGCGACAGTTTCCTCGTAACCTCATCATCCGTGACCTTTCCTCTTCCCGTGGACGTGTACACATTACACATGCTTACCGGCAAACTTGTAATTGGCTAGAAAATGCATGAATAATACATGAAAAGGATGGAGAGCCATCGGACGCGAGAGTGCGGCCTGCTGGGGATGGATTACTACGGCGTTCTGGGACTCAATCGGGACTGCAAGCCGGAGGACGTGCGACGGGCGTATAAATAACTCGTAATCTCGTATTTCCCCCCCCCCCTTCCTCAAACTTTTCCAATTCCAGCGGATCGGACACTTTATGCATGTGGTTTTTTTTGTTTGTTTTTGCGCTCGCGAGTAAAGATCGCGCCTCCGCGCGTGTGTGTACGTGCGCGCATATGATTAATTGATTGCGTCACGCGGCTCGTGCGTGCACGCGGAGACGATCGCTCAGTTTGTTATTTGCTCGCTCGCCGATTTCGTACACGCGAGCGACGAGCCAAGCATGTACCTGCAACTCGGGATCGGTATAGTTTGGTAATAAAGGCGCGGGTGCAACGGAGGCTGCGGTATATACTTCACGGAGACATGCTCCTGGATGACCTTCTCCAGCCGAGTGTCTTTGTTTTGCTGTTCGTGCTCTACTGGCTCGCCGAGTTTCTCCGCGACCGGGAACTCGAGCGCCATCGGGGGTACATATTATTATCCTTTTCTTTTTTTTTTTTTCCCCTCCGTGGCTTTTTACAAGATACGCACCGTTTTTCTTCTTCCTCCACGTTGGCTCGTGTTTTTTTTCCATATGCTCCGGGGCCTTGGGCAAATGTCGTGTGCGCGGGAGGTTCCCGCGTGTTTGACGTTCGATAACGCGACCTCAAACCCGTACGCGGTAAACTTGAGCGCCCGAGGCACACCGAGACGCTGTACTTGCGCCGAAATACATATATTATACGCACCTGTTTCTCTCTCTTTATCTTTTTAGTTTCCGGCGATTAGCGCTGCGCCATCACCCGGAGCGGCAAGCCTTGTCGGAAGATGACCAGGTGAGCGCGAGGGGAGACCCAAAGTGGGCGTTCGCCGTCACCGCTGAGGCCTACGAGGTCCTGTCCGATCCTTTCAGGCGAGCCGTGTACGACCAGTACGGCGAGGCCGGGCTCAAGAGGTCGGACCGGCCGCCCGACGGCTGCGAGCCACCCTACGTCTTCCACGGCGAGCCATTGAGGACTTACAGGTGAGGACGTTACTATCTACATTTCCAAGAAGAAATTGGGAGCAAGGAGTTAAATCGTACCCGGTTATATTATATCTGTCGGTACAGGGAGTTCTTTGGCACTGAGAACCCGTACGCCGATTTGCTCGACAACTTGGCAAAGCCGCCGCTACGCGGAGATTGCCCGGAAGCTCGGGGGATCAAGATAAAGGACGAGGACGTGATAAAGCCGCTTCCGCTAACTCTGAACGAGGCAAGTGTCCACCCGATTATACTTATACTCCACTTTTTAAAAAGTGTTGTTGTTGTTGTTGTTTTTTTTTTCATTCCTCCCTTCCTCCTGGTTCGATTATTCCAAAACTCTTCGCGGTGTCAACAACCATTTTGTCCTCGCAGGTGTTTCACGGGGGAGTGAAAAAAGTCAAAATAGAGCGCCTCGTTCTCGAAGGAGCGAGTACGACCATGGAGGAGAAAATCCTCTCCATACCGATCATGCCGGGGATACCGTCGGGAGCGAGAATCGTCTTCCCGGAGGAGGGCGACCAGGGCCCCATGAAGATACCCGGTGAGATCGTTATACGGACACGCGGTGCAACCACCTGATTGGGCACGGACTTTTCCTATATACTCATGGTGATACATTTTTTTGCAGCCGACGTGGTGTTCGTGACGGAGATCGAGCCGCACGAAACTTTCCGCAGAACGGGCTCGGACCTGAGGATGACGGTCGGGCTGTTCCTGAGCGACGCGCTGACGGGCACCATCATCACCATCAACACCCTCGACGGCCGCGTCCTCCGGGTCCCGATAACCTCGGTCGTCACGTGAGTACATACCCTGTCCACACACTCGTCGCGTACCTATACGTTTAGTCGTCGATCCATTTGGCTCTTTCAGGCCGGAGTACGCGATGCGAGTCGCGGGCGAGGGTCTGCCTCTGGTAGAGGACCCGGGGCGCCGTGGGGACCTCGTGATAGACTTTGACATCGAGTTTCCCGTCTATCTGCCAGCCGCGAGCAAGCTCTTGGTGCGCGAGGCTCTGGATCGCCGGTACGAGATGCCCTCCGACGCCGAGGAGGACGAGACCGGCCGGGCAACCGCCCAGAGGATACTCCTCGATGGAAAACTTTACATGAGGGCCAACAAGATATCGCAGATCTGCAGGCCCTCTCCCCCCCGTGAAAGGACGTGCCTTAAATAACCGCGATCGGGAATTACCGATCGTATTTGTACATTTGGAGGTAGCAGTAGTAACAGCCGGGATTGGTAAGACGGTGCGCCCTGTCTGACCACGTGTGTACTGTGAAAAAACTCGATCAACCCGAAATAGAACCCATTCTTGGTTGCCATATTTTGTTAACCCCCACGGTGTAGCCAGTTATATTTTTGTAAGCCCGTTGTTGAACGACAAATTGTACGATAAGCTGAAAAGACGACTATTGAGTATACATGTGTCGTCATTTATTGTGTATACACCTATATACCTTCTGCGCGAGAAAACCGGTTTTGACCGTATATAAAGAGAGGGAAAAAAAGGCCATTCGCTCGACAGGCCCGCAAACGAAGCAATAAAAGGGAGAGAGGAGAAGCCAGCCAGCGATGGAGCTTAGCGGTCGCGGGTAAGTAAGACAACTGCTGGCGGCTGCTGCTTGGAACTCATCGGAGCAGGTGTCGTTAGCTACCGATCGGAGTTATATATACAGACAGGCAAACTGTCGCGGATCAGAAGAGAGGTGCGGTGACGCGACTCGAGAGTAAGTATATAAGACACTATTCGTTGGGCTTGTGTCACGGTAACGCGCAGCCGATTGATCATTTGCGTTGTATCGGTTTAATCGCATCCATGAAATAGTTACCGATCTGTACATAGTGCTCCGATCGAATGTAGGAGAGTGTGTGTACGTGTGCCAAGTGGGCGTTGGGCCAAAGAGGTGGGGAAAACGAGAAAAATAAAAAAAAAACAACCTAGTCTCTCTCCGCCTTTAAGCTGCGCGTATAGGTAAGTATATACATCGCGCGATCATATGACTCGGCCGCACGTGACTTTATTTACAGTTGGTTGGTGGGTATATCGCGAGTTCGGCTCGTTTGCCATTGCCCGATGACGCTTAATTATACTTTACACTCGCTTCGCTCTTCTTGAGTTGTTGCGAGGCTGTGAGCTTATAGCAGTGGGTGTACCTCACTTGTACCTATACCTACGTTAGCTGCCGATCTTGTTTAAGATTCTTTTTCTGGCGGAGAGATCATCGATTCGTTTGACGCGTGGGTCGGTGCGCGTTGACTTGTACCAAATGTGCGTCTATGTGTGTTACTGATGCCCGGTGATTATGGCGTTTATCGCCAAGTTTTGGTCCAGCGGTAAAAATCGGCAACAGGAGGCTCCGGATGCAGCTGAGCTTGACCAACGGGATAAGCGTGTCGAGTATCACGACGAGTGAGTACATGTACCGATACTTTTTTTTTCTTTTTCAATTTAATACTCGCTGGCTTTCTTCCCCATCTGTTGAATTAATTTTTTTTTTTTTTTTTCTTTTTGCAATTCAAAGTACCACGTTAAGTAGAATTCCCCTCCTGCATGGTATCGATCTTCTCGGAACAGAATTTGAAAGGAGCTCTTTTGATTTTGAAAACTGCTCGCCCAAAGGCACGTTTTATTAATGAATAGTAACAAATAACAGTTGGGTTTCTAATCACCGATGCTTCAATACAGAATCATCTTAGAGTTCAATTTTTAAATTTTTTAATTTTTTATTCATGATTCAAAAATGATTCAACCGTGTAATACATGTACCCTATTGTTGCCCTTTTGATCGCGGGCGAGAAGCTGTATACGATGAAGAAAAATTATTTCTCAAGTACGAGAAAACCTTATTAACGAACGTAATATTCAAATTTTTAATATAATAATTTTATCTGGGTATCTTTTTGCTGAGAGTTTGAAAAAAGTCCTAGTGCATATTGCAATTAAAAATTAGAAGAAACCATCTAAAAGAAATCGGTAAATGTATAGCAGTGCCGATGATTTCGCGATACCCGACGCTCGTTGGCACATTGCATTCATGAAACCACCACCAAACAAACAATGTATACCCACCATCCGGCTCTTCCTAATGAATGAGCTAGCGCACGCTCGTTCGTTTCATTCACAGTACTGGTGCGATTATTGCTTCTCGATTACACGTACACCTATAACCATCCAATATATATTATTATGTATTTCATCTTTGTCGGAGCACGTGACGACAGGGACGCTAAGCGCGCACTTTATATACGAGTTAAAGCTTCGACCGATGGTCATTTTAACTTTACGTTCATTGAAAAACATCCCCCGTTCCACCCACGATGGCCATACATGTATATATTTATAGTAAGAAGTGTAATCTTGAATATTGTAAATAATGTCGGAGGCATAAGCTACTATCCTATGTGGATGGAAAGGAAATGTCCCTTTGATGATCACTTTTTCGCTATAATCAGAGAGAGAGAGCAATATACCCGATATGTACCGATTTTCAATGTAAAATGTCATTTCTGCCGATTGTCGCTAGAAAACGCCTGCAATTCGGCGCGGACCCTGTGAGGATACTGCTATTCCGAGACTGCGACTCGCGCGTCTCCCGGAAACTACTGTTCGACTCCATGTCGACGGAAGGCTGCGACAGATGCAACGCCGACAACCTCGGACCAAAGTCTCGCAACGGAGCGCCCAACCGCGGGAACCCGACGAAACGCATCGGTGCAAACAACAAACGGTCCGCCCCCTTGGTCTGCGAGGTATACACTCACTCACTCACTCACTTTCTCCCCGATTGTAGTTACAAAGCATTGAAATCTCGTCGTTTTCCTGGTATACAGCACGAGAAACAACTAAAGGACGACACCAGCGTGCTCTGCGCCATGACCTTCGGCAGCGTCTCGATGACCTACAAGGGCCCTTCCTTCAAGGTACATAAACCCAATACATGTGTGACCTTGTACCTACAATGCCTCCGATGGGCTTTCGTTTTCAGATACACGTGGTCAGTTCGCCGGCCAGCGTAGTGTGCGCCAAGGTCTTTCCATCCTCGGAGCACAGCGTCTGCGGACCGAGGTGATTTTGGTTTTTTTTTTCTCATCCCCTCTCGCGTATATATTTACATACCTATACACTTAACAACCACACATCCCGTGTGTTTCTGTACGACGAGCAGCCAACGGCAACCCGGCGCCCCGACCACCTTCGACTCCACCACCAACTCGAGCCTGCGAACGCAAAGTAACCCAATCGCACCGTAACTCTATAATGCTTGACTTTACACATATATGTACAAAATACACAAGATAATTAAATAATAATTCCGTAAAAACGCAGTATCCGGCAGTGCGAGCTCGGCAAGCGGGGTCATCCCAACGCTGCGGAAAACCTCGACGAGCTCGAGCGTAGGTGGCGGCTGGGACCTCGAAGTGCCCCGTCTTGGTAGTGAGTAACCCACACTTGACGTATCGATGCGTACCTATATAGTACTTGAATCCAAAAGCACGAAATACACGTTGACAAAAGGTTCGCAGTCCCTGGACGGCAACGGCTCGTCGTCCGGGAGCCTCTCGAGTTTACGCCGGCGGTGGCAGAGGGCGCTCTCGACGTCGCTCGCCCGCTCCGAGTCAGAGGAGGGCTCGACGGTCGACGGGGCCAAACACGGGACGCGGCTCGCCCTCGTCCTCCTGGTCCACCTACCATCTGGTCACGAAAGGTCAGTCTTGCTTTCTCCCCCATCGATTCGATCCCATATATTTATTCATTCCCCCTCTCTCTCTCTCCTGCACCGTGTAGTGAAGCGACGGCGTTGTTTCTGGAGCACGCGCCGCTGCTCGAGGGTATGCTGGACCGGCTGCGGTACTCGTGCGGCGAGGGCCCAAGGCGCAACCTCGTCTACCGGCTGTACCGGGCCACCGGCGGCTCGACGCTTCGGCTCCTCAGCCGGATCACGAGACTGGAGCTCGGGACTACCAAGTCACTTCTCGTGTGGCACGATGCCCTGCTCAACTCGGTCCACCAGCACCGGCAACCGTGTCGGCTCGGCGACGTTCACCGTACCTTGCAGCGCATGTGCTGGCTCCTCGAGAGATACGACACCAAGTCCACAAACTTGTGAGATATAACATTCATTGTATATACCTACATTGTATACATATATACTCGCGTGAGGAAACAATAAGTCATCCCGGCGTTGTTTCAGCTTCGTCAGTACGATCGTCACGGCCGTCCTGACGCACCACCTCGGCTGGGTGCACACGGCGCCACCCTGTCGCGACAGACAGGCGGTAAATTATATATTTCTTATCATCGCATCTCGCGGTTGTCCAAAAACAAAAAAAAAAAAAACAAAAAAAAACAACAATTGTCGTAGGTGGAGAAGATGGGTAAACAGTACAGTTGCAACCCCCTGTGGGCCCAGCTGGCGGATCTGTACGGGGCCGTGGGGACGCCGACGCGGCTCGCCCACACGGTGATAGCGGGCGAGCCGGACAAGGTCAGCCTGATCGAGTCGGTGTTGCATTTCCTCTCGTACTTTGTGCGGAGCGGCGTCGTCGGCAAGCACCCGGAGACCCGCTGTCCCGAGCAGGAGGACTTCCGGGAGGCCAAAGCCACGCTCGAGCGGGCGCTTCGCCGAAAACACGGCCTCTCGGACGGGCCCCCAAAACTTTGCAGTAGCGGCAGGCCAGGCGGTGAAGCTCCCACCGGGTCGGCGTTTGTCGCACGGAGAACGACCAACGGGGCGGCGACGCGTGCCAAACTCGGCCTACCGGAGGAGGAGCCCTACGAGGAGACTTCGTCGAAGAAGCTCAAGCGCAGCGGTACGATGGGTTGCCGGCTGGACGAGGTTGCGACGGTGGACCCGGTGCAGGGGCAAGGGGAGACTGGCGAGGAGAGGCAAGCGAGCAGCAAAGTCAAGATAGTCGTCGGTGACGGTGACGAGCGCGATAAGCTTTGTAACTTTAACAAACAGCAGCTGCAGAAACCTAACGCTACCAAAGACCTCATGCGCTGCTTGGACTCCGAAAAGCTGGCGTGGCTCGACCGGCAGAAGTTCCCCCCGGCTTCCTTCGCAGCCAGCCACCATCCCGCTAACTCCAAGACCTTGCTGTAAGAGCTCATCACTACTTGCGCTCTTTCACGGTTTTTTTTTATTTTTTTTTTATTTCAACACACCGGCCCCATCATTTTTATTCACGTGCCATTGAGCTCGCGGTAAATCGCATGCGTGTAACTTGATTGTTTTTCCCCCCTTTTTTTTTTCCTTATTCTTTCGTTGTTGCTCGGATGCGTTATTCGCCCATCCTTTGGATTTCGTTTTGTGCAACAGGAACGAGCACGTGGCCTTTGCGGCCAACTTTACGGCCAACGCCGACGCCCAAGTGCTGTTCACCCTGGGCGACGACAAGCCCTGCACCCCTACATCCTCGTCGGTTAACGAGCGGCTCGAGTCATCGAATCGCTGCCAATGCTCGTACACGTTCATGCCGAGCACCTCGGCCGAGCTGCCCGAGGCCATTTTGCGCAAAATCATCCAGAGGAACTTTCCCGAGTCGTCGAAGAACATGCGGCCTACCGCGACTGCGGACGACGACTTTGGGGTGTGCCTCAAGTGCCGGAGGGGCTCGTCCCGTGTCTTCGAGAACGGCAAGCTGCTCGAGACCCCGACCAACGCAACCGAGGTCCTACGGGGCTGCACCACCTCCAACAGCAACGGCCCCGTGGTGGACGGACCCACGGCTGGCTCGACGCAGCCCGACCGCTCCGACACCCTGGAGGCTCTTCTCGAGGCTAACGGCATCATCGAGCTGCCCATGCCGAGGTGCACCCTTTTTCCTTTCTTCCTTCCTTCCAGAGTTGATGGAGGTAACATTATACAACCTTTGACTTGTAGAACGAAAAAGGCAGCATCCGAGGCGAAAACGATGGTGCGCGAGAGCGTCGGGTTTCCCAGGAGCCTGATTGGCCTGAAGGTGGAGACGCTCGAGTCCGGGTACACGTACGGCATGGTGATGCAGGGTCTGGTCAAGAAAACAAAGCCCAGAGCCTCGGATGGGACTCCGAGACCGAAGAAAGAGGAGGAGGAGGAGGAGGAGTGGTGGTTGCCGATTCGGGAGAATCTCGGCTTTTCCGTCAAGTTTCCCGTTATCGATCAGCCGGTAGCCGAGGCTCTCTGTATCATCGGCGACCTTGACAACTGGCAGGTCGGACTGCTGTCGAATACATCGAGCGCGACGGCGCCCGTGACCGTTGGCATGTCGAGGCTCGTGTCGAACATGCTCGAGGCTTTCGTCTGCATGTGGAGGACCTTCCGGTCGCCCGAAATAGTAAGCAGCACCTTTACGTTCGATCCTCGTACGTAGGAAGAAATCACTGTGACTCCTCGTTTGTTTGTTCTTGTATCGTTGCAGTGCATAAAGTTTCTGGAGAGCAGGCTACGCGAGGTGTGGCTGCGCAGCCGATCGCTGGCCGATTTTCTCCTGACTGACGATCTGGACGACGCGAGCGTCAGCAGTTTGACCGATTTTCTCGACGTCGACGTTGCCGATCTGCCTCTGCTGGTGGCCGTCGCTTCTACGCACACGCCGCGGATATCCCAGAGGCTCGGCCTAACGCTGGCTTGATCGGTTTGAGACTTTCTCTCGTGAAACTCCAAAGAGCACCACGCGAATGGCAAACGTCACGTGAATCGAGTACGAAAATAGAAAACTTTTTTTTTTCTGCATCCGCATCGGTCCATTTTCATACCTATATTGCGTAAAATAACTTTTTGCGTCTGACGTATTCAGAGTGCCGGGCTGTGCCTACACTGCTCAACTATTGTAATATAGTGTAATATACATACACACTCTGTTCTCGTATTTGTACGGAGGATAGGAGCTGGGGAGGGATTTGAAGTAACGATTCTTCTTCTTCGACCGACTGCCACTTAATCGTTTTAAGCTACACACAGGCATGTATAACGAAATGCGTTGATATGTGTAACAGGTATTTTTTTTTTTTTTTTTTTCAATGAAAACTCACAAGGCATCAGAAATTTATGGTGTACTTTAGATTGGTTAAAGGAGTATACATATGGAGTGGTGTCTGTTTTATGTTTAGAAATTTTCCCATCAATTTGCCGGAGCTTTCATTAAATTCTTGATACGCGAATACTTGATTTATACTGTTACGATACCGAAGTGTTATTATTATGATGTACTATAAAAGCTAAGCCGAACCTCAATATTGCATAACGTTATGTATTATTCGAGCGATAATCAAAGTGTTGGGCATGAAAATATAAACTGTTGGTTTACTTGTTTATGATGACCAAAACGTTTATACTGGCGGTTAAATTGTGATAAATGATCAAAACGTCCCTTCACGAGGATAAATATTAAAGACGGAAAAAAATGTATCTTGACTTTTACACCAAGTGCGATGAAAAAAAAAAAAAAAAAAGAAATAAAGATAAAAAAATATAGAATGAAAAAATGTGATGTTTAATACCTTTTTTTTTATCAAGGAGAATTACGAGGGCAAAAATAAAACAAAGTACTCAAATTCGTAAGTATATAAGCCCCCACTCGATTGTTTTCGCTTTTGTTTTCGTCCCCTAACCTTTGCCAGAGAAAATTTTTGTCGTCCGGTTGGTTTGAAAAATTACCTCGTCAAAGTGGTCAAAATTTCAATTGATGTAAATTAAAACTCCCGTTTTTCCGATTTACATTTTTGTAATTCCAAATTAACTCGGCCGTAATGGACATCTGCATCGAAGAACCGTAAGTTCTCAGCACACCCGATAACACACATGCACCATTTGCCAAGTGTACCCATATTTATATCATCGAAACACGTTGTAGACATCCGCGCGAAAAGGCTCCCTCGTCGATCGACATAAGAAATAAAATACGCGTAAGGAATTCGCACTACTTTTTCCCCCACCTTACAAAAAAAAAATAAACGCGTCAAATGCATATTTTATTTCCCCAGCTGGGTCACGATGAATGCTGCAACTGCTGCTGCTGCAAAGTCCCTCAGTTCAATGCTTACGTAAGTCCGCTAATGCGTGATCAACTTCCCAAAGACTAAATTATTTGCCATTTTTAGAAATACGTTCAACCAGAAATCCCAAAACCGTTTCGTCCGATCCGGGTAAGTAGCGGGAGGGAAAAAAAAAAAAAAAAAAAAACCATGTAATGACAAAAAATAACGGATCATCAGTGCTACAAAAAATTGGACGTCCCGCTCGACGACAACACAACGTACAAAATGTCATTTTGGCCGGAGCAAGTGCCGGTCCGAAAACCAATCCTCCCCGCGGGCTGCCTGACGGTGGCCGACGGCCAGTTCACCGACGACACGACGCACAAGGTAACGGACCGATTTGTTGTTGTTGTTTTTTTTGTTCTTTCCTTCAAATCAACGAAATGTTGCAGATGAGTTACTTGGGCAACTGGTGCGTCAAGCCCCAAGAAAAAATCCTGCCCTGCGTGAGAAACTGGTTCGGCAGGGGTCCCATTCAGGACGAGACGACACAAAAGCACGACTTTGCGTGGAAGTGCGGCAAACCCGTGAAACCGATCAAGTACCGGGGAAACTTGTGCCTACCTCGGGGCTACGTAGCTGGTAATACAACGTATTATCATCGATAAAAACAAACAAAAATTAACGAGATTCGACATTAAGATGACACAACGTACAAACTGAGCTACTACCCGGCCAACTGCCTCGAGCCGATAAAATCGTTCAGGCCGATTCGACGCTACGAAAAATCCGACGTTCCCCTCGACGGCTGCACGACCTACCGGCTCAGCTTCTACAGCGGCGATCCAATAACGCAGGTAATATCGACTGCCCTTACATACAGTCACTCAAGTGTAAATATACCTGTGCTATATACGAAACGATTCGGCCCTTAGGAAAACTACCCGTGGAAGAAGAAACCGGTGTACCAGAGCCCGACGACGCCGGTGGAGAACGGCACGACGTACAAGCTGAGCTACTGGCCCCAGTGCGCCGAGCCGGTCGCCCCGGTGAAGCACACCAGCGCCGAGAACCTGCTGAACCGCGAGTGTTGCTTCGAGGACAACACCACCTACAATCTCAGTTACTTTTGCGGCGGCGGCGATCGGCCTCTGCCCATCCACCCGATCACCAACAAGATCTTTGACGACGCGCCCCCGTCCCGCGACACCACCCACAAAGTATACTTTAATGTCCATTCATCGTATACATGATACACATGTGTATGTGTGTTGATTAATGTACACCGTCTCCGGTGGCAGATGAGTTACCTGGGCAACTGGTGTCCGAAGCCAGAGAAGCCGATACTCCCGTGCACGAGGCAACTGCTGGGCCGGGGTCCCATACAGGACGCGACCACGCAAAAGTGCGACTTTACCTGGAAGTGCGGGGTCCCTCCACCTGGCATAAGGCCGCTTGGAAACCTCGAGCTCTCCCGGGCTCCTCTGGAGGGTCAGTTGGAGAGAAAACATACTCTGGCGCGGCTCCCCCCCCCCCCCCTCGAAAGATCCGCGGCAGCAACCATACGTACATCATTGTGTGCGCGCGCTCGTCCCTGAGAGATGCCATCTCGATTTTCCATCCTCGGCGCGCCTCCGCAGATGCGCCAGCAGATATACATATACGGCATAATATACTATACCCACGGCCTGTTTGTTGCGCAAAACCTGCAACTGCCGCGCGCAGACGGTGACTCTCATTACAGACGCACGGTTACAGCGCTCGTCGCTCGGTGCCATTATCGAGACGTTTTTCGAGACAATTTCCCCCTACCCCGAATAATAATCCGTCTGGCTCGTTTCATTAAAATCCGCGCGCATACATATATACGCCACACGAAACGTGGCGCTTTGGTTGCGCCATACCCCCACACCCCCCGTGTATGGTATGATTACTACGGCGTCGTAATTAATTCTTCGTTTTATTCTTTTGTCCATGCAGTTTGCACGACGAACCGGCTGTCCTTCATGCCGAACTGCGCCGAGTGCGCAATACAGAGCAAGAACTTTGCACCGGTTCGCCGGTACGAGCCGGCCGACGTGCCGATGAGCCTCGACACGGAGATGAAGACGAGCTACGGTCAGCCCGGCGCCCCGGAGAAGGTCGACAAGCCCTGGGCGGCCAAGCCGGCGTATCACAAGCCCACGACCCACATCGACGACTCGACCACTTACGGCCTGAGGTTTTTTTTTCTCCTTTTTCATTGCTTGTAGCTCCAATTGTGCGTGGATGTTGATGGGGGGTTTTTTTTTTCGTACAGCTACATACCACCCGGTACTTTGGAGCCGTGCTGCCCGGAGGAGTTGCACTACCAGTGCCCGTCGTCCCCGTGTTCTGGTACACACAATGTTACAAACTATCGCGACTAGAGCGTATTCGTAAGGATACGTGTGGGCATTGATGAATATTGTCATGTGTGCGCAGCATCGGCTGGTCCCCGAGAGGCAAAAACGACGCGTCCGTGCAGCTGTAAGCCGGGGGCTTTTTTTACATACACACGTCACATTTTGTTTGGCCCGAGACAACATCACGTTTCCTTCGTGTTTCAGTTTGCTGATGGACATAGTTGTGGATCACGGCTTTGCGACGATTTCGACGGGGAAGATCATTGGTTTTTCCTTTTCGGAGTCATGTGTGCAAACTTTACATCAATGTTTCCGTGTTTTTTTTTTTTTTTTTCTGTGAAAAAGCATCTGTACCTTCGTACCCATATTGGCGCGTGATTTTTCGACAATTAAAAGATACACACTCGTCCTCCGTTAACATTGGACACCGAGAAATGTATCTCTTATTTTACAACTAGACGCGTAGGAGGCGCAATTTCCCCAACCGAGATCGGTAAATCGGTACGAGGTGGCACGCGTGTATACAACACAAGCCAGCGTGAAAGTTGGCAGTGGTGTTAACATCTTCCCATGAGCCGATTGCGCGCGCGATTATCAAACGTTTGCCTGGCTTAGATGTATACGCACCCGCAATTAAACGTGCAAACTGCTGATGCGAATGTGGATTCTCTCCGGGTGTGCCTCGCCCACTTTTCCTTTCGACTTGTGCGCCGGCTTTTTCTCAGATGTTGGAGATTGGCAACCTTTTTTTCCCTTCCAATAATAGAGAGAGATTGATTAGCCTTCATGGAAGAAAAGGTCGCGCGCGAGTTACGGCGAAAGAAAGCGGCGATGCCGAGGGGAGGTGCATGTGTGTATATCCAACAATGTGTGATGATGCTTGCACAATGTCGATCGTTTGTTGACGACATCAAGTCTTTCTTTTGTAATGAGCACAGCCCGCGCGCGCATTCATCACTAGTGTATTATATTTATAAATGGGTGTTGGGTCCATTGGTGGCTGTTGGATCTATTGTCTCGTTGGCATGTGCCAGCAGCCAAGAGAACGAAGGAGCGTTTACCGAATGCTGAGTCATTATTGCGTTTGGCATGTAATGTGTACCCATGTAAACGTACAAGGAAGTATACATCGCGGTGTATATTAGCTAATATACACCGCGGGCGGGTAAAAGTACTGAAATCGCCGACGCCTCGGGCTAAAAACGCCCCGTCTAATTAATTATTCGTCGAGCCGAGGGAGATGGAACGAAAGGAAAGAAAGAGCGTGACGTATACTTATAGGTGGTGTTTTCAGGTGTGTGTATATGTGTATCGTGAGCAGTTGGGCGCGCGTGGCTCCAACAAACAACCGGTCCATATAGGCGGCGAGCGCGATTTCGAGGGTGTTGAAACGAGCCGGGATTACATGGATACGCCGTTTCGGGGATAGCTTTGACTTTTGTGTGCCTGTACTCCCGTGGCAGGTACATTGTCTGTCTTTGCTTTTTCTTCCGAGAGAGCAAACAGTTAAACCTCTCGGCTATGTGGGTCCTTTTACTAAGTTATACCACGACGCTCCGTGAAGTGGATTTTTGAAAACGGCCGGTCGAACTACTTCGAGTCGAAGCAAAGAGGTGATAGAGTACTTTTCCTAAATACATTTTGGGTACTTGTTTGCGTGACCGTGAGATGCAAAAAACAGGTGAAAATGTCAGCACTGTGTAATGCCAAGAGTTTAGAAATTTTTATTTTTAACGACTTACGGCACCTACACGCATTGGCTCTTTAATTTTTTTTTACTGAAACAATACGAAAATATGTTTTATAAAAAAGTACGGGACGTTTTATTTGGGGAAATAACTTTTGATACTTTTTTTCAATTGCATTTGGACAAGTAATAACTCATTTAATTTGGCCGAGTGATCGATTCTTGACCACTTGAAATTCAATGTTCGAAAATTTCAACGTGTCTAATCTACATTCGATTCAATTTTAAAAATTGAATTTCGATAACGTCACTTGCGTTCCTCGTTCAAAACGGCACTTGGCACGCGGAAAATCAATTTCGCATTGTTTTTTTTTTAGGTTTCTGCCTGGCACGGACACTTCATCGTTTGGATGGATGAATTAATTTTTTTATATTTTCTTTGCGACTGAAACACCAAAAGTGGGGAGTGTTGTAATTTGCCACAATAAAACTCTCGGAGAAATGAAATGTTTAATTAAATCCTCGTGAAGCGCGACGTAACGCCAATAAAGATCCGAGATAAAAAAAAAAAAAAAAAAAAAGTCCTTGTCCAGAGACTTCAGCGAGTGATAGCGCTTTCCAGCGAACATAAAGAGCCAAAAGCGATCAATGGAGACGAATACCGAATCAAGTCCCGAGAGCTCAAGAAAGAAGAAGAAGAAGTAGCAATAAAAACTTGTACACGCATCGCCTTTCCCACAACGAGCGCCGGCAACAAAGCGAATATATAATTTTCCATGTGTACACAATATAGGTCCCGTAGACCTCATGCCCATGGATATACACGTATAAGTGTATAATTGAGGAATCGGCACGGATAGATGGAGGTGCGCGCGGTGTCGTCCCAGCCGCAGAAGCGGCTCTCCGATGAGTAGGGGGTAAAGTGAGAGTAGGTATATAAAGGGATTCTCTCCTCTCATCTCAACGCAGAATATCGAGAGGAGAGCAGCAGCAACACCCAGCGTTCCCAGCGCTATATATAGGTATACCAGTAAGCTCGCTGTTTTCGCGTATACATATATATACATATACCCCTGTGCCGATCCGCGAGTTTTTGTTTTCAAAAGAGACCAAAGAGAGGAAGGTGCACCCACGACACACAATTATGAAGACTGCGGTGAGTAACCCCCGTGCGACATTATTTGTATGCACATTGTTTTTTTCCTCGCACTGCGTATACCGTGCTCTCAGGGTCGTTCGCGGTCGCGCGCGAGCATTTTTTTTTTTCCCCCACATTGTCCTCTTCTACTGCGCTGGATACCCATTTTTTTTTTTTTTTTTTTTTTTCCATCTCTCGTCACCTCCTGCTCATTGCCTCTCTAATCATTTTTACAATTGTCATTCTCACGAAACAATACCCGCAACCCGATTTTTTTTTCGTCTTTTCTTTGTTCCTTGCTCGCTACAATCGTTCGGCAATCTTGTCTCGTGATCACTGCGACCTGTAGGCACGACACCTTTTATTGCTCGATCGCTTAATTTAACACAAATACGTCCAGTACGTCTATACTCGACTCGGTGCGCCATCGTTTGTTTCTTCTTTTTTCGCTGAATCGATGAAAACTCACGGGGAGCGAGAAAACAAAAAACAAATTCTTAATCATTCATCCAAAGTTGCGTAAGACAAAATGATGACAAAAAAAAAAAAAAAAAAAAAAAAAACGACTTGACGCGAATCCCGAATCTAACGGAGAAAGAAAGGAAAAAGTTCAAGAGCCGTAGCGCTCACCCGATTTTGATCGTTAAATAGTATCGGCAGAGCGGGAAGGGGTCGACTTGGACGAAATCCATCATCGCCGGCGTTTTGAAAGTTGGGCAATAATCGGTGAAACAAATCATACGCAAAAATGATCGCTTACGCGTAAAGATCGTTATGTATACGTGCGTGTGTGACCCAAGAGAGGTGAAAAAAGACACGAGCGCACAGGTCCTGCGATAATTTAAAAGCTCAAACAGCCGGCGGGCAGGGAAACCGGGATACTTTTTCTCACTCGTGCTCGTAAATGCATACACGTACGTAATGATTATGATGATGATGGTGTGTAATAACACAACCGCGATGGTAGGTATATATATACATATATGCATAAAAATAAAAAATAAACTGATGGGCGAGCGCGGGAGGATGGGCTAGCGGGTCATGAGTTAAACGACCTGCTCTAGCATTTGCTTTTCACTTTCACCGAGAGCAACAGCTTGTACTTGTACACACGCGGTGTATCTATACATTCCGTGCACATATACATTATACGAAAGAACGTATAGGTACTTAGGGAGGGAGAAGAAATTTGCGCATTTGTCGAGCAAAAAAAAAAAAAGCGCGCTCCAACCCACTTTTTTTTCCGAATCCCCCGATTTCGGTGACGCAAGCCGAGATTATACATGCATCCTCGCGGAGTTTGGAATTCAAGAGGCACATCGTGCACCGCTCGTCGTCGCGTCTGTCTCTCTCCCGCATTGTACTCTCTCGCGGGCGCTTGATTTACATACGCCATTCCCGAAGCTCGAGCTTTCGCGGTTTATTTATTCGTTTCTGGCACACACGTTTCACCACCCCCAGGGACCCGCTCTGCTTTCCTTTTCGCCCGCAGGAATAATTGAGCTGCTAGTGATGTAATCTCTCGCAATAATGACAATAACCGAAAACACCTTTAAAATACACGAGGTACAACGGACAGCGATCTCGAAACCTATAACTCTGCGTGCGTAGAAGATAAAGGAAAAGGATCTCTGAGAAAAAATGAAAAGGAAAGCAGAGGCTGGTGTATATATATATATATATACGCGAAATCGGGAAGGAACTTGAACTGCGTGAATCTATACGGTGTACATCTATATACTTATCAGGCCCAGAGGTGCGTTACGCAACTTTGATCCCGATCTCTGGCTGTACTCGCAAACTCTCTTTTCATCGAAGAGCACAGACATCAGCTGCAGCCACACCAGCGTATTTTGCACGTATGAACATTCATATATACATACACGTATGTAGAAACTCCTTCATCCGCGGAGCGCCGCTTTCTCTCGGCGCTCCCAGATTCGGTGCAACACGTATAGGTATACCCTCCAACGGCGCGTTACTGCCGATACACGTATTTATATGCGGGTATATTTCTTCATAATTTCGAAGCTGCGCAACCTTGCCACTCTATTCGGGAGAGGAGATAATTTTTCCGTCGGCCCGAAGCGATCATCGGTTTCCGAGGTACTTTCTACGCGAGGATGGAAAATCAAAGAAAATGAAAGAAAAAACAAAAAAAAAAAAAGATGTAGCCGCACGTGCGTGAGCGCGAAAGTGAAATTTCGAGGATGATATTACGTGTACGTTTACGGCGTGGGCATATATAGCCGTTGGTAAAAAAGGAAACGAATAAAATAAAACCAGTGATGTGTGAGCGCGTAGGCCGATCCTTTTTCTCTCTCGCGCTCGAGTCGTCTTTCATCACGCGCGATCGGCCTCTCGTCTCCTAATTGGGCGCGCCTCGACTTTCTTCGCGTGTTCATAAGAAAAAAAAAAAAAAAAAAAAAAAAAAAAAAAAAAAAAAAAAAGAAAAAATGATCAGTTGGTTTGATAATGCTTTTTTGGCCATTTTCGCGCGCAGATACTGGCTGTGATGATGTTGGGCCTCGCTGTGGCTCAGGACGTCTATCGAGGCCGGCCCTTCCAGAACCCAAGCCAAGGCTTCCACCAGCCGCGCCAATTACCACAGCATCAGCAAAAGTCCCAGCAACAGACCGACAGCAGCAACGAGAACTCGCAGTATCAGGAGGCACCGGCCGCGTCCGCTGGACACGTTGACGACAGGCGCGCCAAGACCACTCCCATACCGATCCTCGTGTGGAACAAGCAGCAGGAACACGACGGCACATACAGGACTAAGTACGTTGCAACTACACGCTCCTCCCAATTATTATTTTTTATTTGTACTTTCGAGTTTAAATATATCGGCTGCAGAATACATTGCCGCATTTCGGTTTACGCTTATGAGTTTGCCGGCGAAAATCGCGCGTGGACTCGTCGATTGCGTAACAAGTGTAAAAAACGTACAAGCAGAGGGTCGTAAATTCGACAAACTATGTTGGACGGGCCAACGAATCGAACCCATTGCAGGGACAATCAAATTATTTTTTTTTCGCAAATTAACCGTGTTGCGCAACGCGAACAAGATGAACAAACATTATGATTGCTGACCTCACGTTGTCGTTAAGCTACGAGACGGGCAACAACATCATAGCGGAGGAGAGCGGCTACATAAAGACCGTGGGTGAGGGCGAGGATCAAACCGAGGCGTTGGTTCAGGAGGGCTCGTACTCTTACACCAGTCCCGAGGGCCAGATCATCACGATCCGTTACATGGCCGACGAGACCGGCTTCCACGCGACGGGGGACCACCTGCCCACGTCACCCCCCGTCAGCGCGGAGATCCAAAAGGGCCTGGATCTCATATACGCCGGCATCCGGCAACAGCAGGTTTGTCAATTGCTCGTCCGTACTTTGATTTTGTTTGTTGCTTGTTATACTGTTGTTGGAAATAAATGGCCAATTTTGTCTCGGGATCGGCTTTCAGGAGGCGGACGCTCGCGAGGCGGCGCTCAAAAACAACAACCAGCCGCTCAACCAGCAAATCGACAGGCGAGGCGACGCTGACAAGTTTCGGCCCTGAATGAGGACCCACAACCTACACGAGCAAAGTGGGCCAGCCCTGCTCCGTCCAAATATTTTTATCGTCGAAACTCGTCGCCCAAACATCCCACCCCCGCACCAATTAAGTACGTTAATACTCCCTTCCTCATCCCTTCATCGTATACCAATTCTTTATTCACCTCATACATATTATGATATGCGCTAGTTGTATAATGTTGATCGAAATACTTGTAGTTACATGTATGGTTATTATATGTAATAATGGAACAAAACAAAAATGCTGAAAAGCTACACGTACATACACACTTCGAGTGATCCAGTCAAATTTGTCCAATAGATTGTAAGTTGATATAATTTTTTTTTTTTTTTTATCATATTCTTGTAAAACTTTTCATTTCTCTTTTTTGTTTTTGTTTCTTTTCTTTTTATTATATTCTTTTTTTTTTTTGAACCTTCGGATAATCGCTAAAAACGATCATCTAATACGAGTTGAGCCTATGTTCCGAATACTTTTTTTACAATTAAAGTGATACTTGGATTATTATTTCTTTGAATAAAGCTTAACGCGTTTTTCTTCGCTTGAACCCCCCTTCTCCGCAACCTTTTATCCCGTATGACTCGCAGATTTATAATCATCAGTCGAACCAATTTATTGACAAATCAAATCTGTTTGTACAAGAAAATCCTTTAAAAAAAATATCATTCCAAGTAGTCAATGTTGACTAGTTAGTAATTTTCTCGTTTGGACATTGTTTTTTTTTTTTTTTTTATTGTGACCACAAATTATCAAGAGTTGGGTGAAACGGATGTATACAATTAAATGGCAAACAAGTTATAGTTTTAAAAACTTTATTCTCTTTAAAGTTGTTAATATATAAGTTGATAATGCATAAGTTGTCGCTATTTACAAACAGTGACTCTGAATCTTTTTAAGCCTTGCAACCAGAGTGCATTAAAAATAAAACACCAGACCAAGCTCGAAATCTATTAGTAGACAAAGGTACGAGAACAAAAAGATATAGCTATACCAAAAAAAATGCACTATGATCGACAAGACTTGTTCATCGTACTGTGTAGAGAACGAAAAAACTTACCTACATTGGTTGGTTTATTTTTTCGTTTGTTACCGAAAAATCGTTCGCTCCCGGTGTCATGTTTAAAATACAGTTTAAGGCCTCTTATCGGTTAACAGCATAATAGGAGATAAATTTCCAAAGCTTAAAAAACAGCCTATAATCTATATAAATCGGTACACGCGCGCACAAATAGGCGCGTGTGCCCGTTTAATATGGCTTTTGTGGAACAATCAGGATTTTTTTATTCGACCATTGCGCCGTTAAGGTTGCGACTCGCGAGAGAAAATCGGTTGCGATATCGTTAAATCTAACGCGGGTATATAGGTATTATACGTAGCGTATATAGATGTACAATTTGATAAAAGTGGACCGATTCCGATCGTACGAGCAATATAATACGTCAAACGTTGGCGTGTAAAATTGTTTTTCCCAATTTCGTTTCGCTCGATTGAAATTGCATTGTTCGTCATCATCACCTACTTTTCGAAAAGTGTGCTTTAGGCGTTTCAAAATCAATGTTACAAGCAACAGCTAAGCAATTGCCTACTTACTACGCGTGTATACATTGCGCTCTCACTATACAGCTACGTAAGACTACATTAGTACACTATAGAGTTGCGGGTCTTTTTTTTTTATTTATTTGTTTTTTTTTTTTTTTTTTTTTCAACATAATCAATGACATCGAATTGCCGCATCTATAGATACTATACACTATAATTGCCCTTTTTGTAGTCTTTACAGAGACACGTACATCATTTCTCTCGTTCTCATTCAACACACAAACTGTGTATTTTCTTAAAATTAAAAATACACACTCGTTAAACCTAAATATTGAGCAATGAAAAAAAATTGGGGTACAGTATGTGGATGTAGTAAATTGTTACGTTTGATTTGGCACTCTTATACAAGCGGAAAGTTGCAGTAGTAGTACAAGTAGCAGTGTAAATAAGGTGTATACACCCGCGAATGGGAGGGAACGCCGTTCAGAGTCACGTGGGCCGCAAAACCGTCTCTACGTTTTGTAAACACTTGCTTCCCACGCGTCTAAATACTTGTGCTTTTTTTTCCCCCGTGTGTCTCATTGTCAATGGACGCTCTTTCGCCACTAGTGCGCGAATTTTTTTTTTTTTTTTTTTTTTTTCACGCGTCTCGTAAACACAACAACCATATTTTTCGAAACACTCTCGTTTTTCCTTCTCTCTCTTGTGAAAAATAACCAGAGGCTTTGTTCGGCAGCGAGCCCAAATTCACGGAAATCACGATAGTGCAACACAATGCAACACGGGCCCGTGAAATTTAATAACCCGCAGGTAAAAGAAAAAAAAAAAAAAAAAGAATATGTAGCCTGTTAACAATGGAAAGCGGCCGCGCGAAAATTTCGAATCCCGATAAACGGAGGTATACCCGCACAACTAAGACAAAATAAAAATCGCGCCCACGTCAGCCTCAAAACGCCGGGATTTACGAGCCTCCGAGAGTTATTTTTTTCCTACATATAAGGCACAAAAGAAAAAAAAAAAAAAAAACTCCCCGACTTTAACGTGCTCGTACGCACGTCGCTCTCTTATACTCCCGAGATGCCACTCAGCTGTAGACGCATACACACACACGTATACATAATATACATATATGGGATACCGCAGTCGCGAATAATGGGAGAAAATCGTTCGGCGCACACCGTTCATTACATAGTGGGTATTATTATTATATCAAGCTCTCGTCTCGCGAAACAATCGAATTTTCCCTGTCCCCCTCGACCCTTTACACATAAGAGCAGCTCCATTATTCCTTGGACGCGCGCGTAAGTAGGAAACGCTCTGCTGCTATATTTTTTTTTTCATACAATGATAAACGAAACGATATCCGTGCGCGTGTGACTACGTATAGCTACAATAAATAAGAGAAACTCGTTGCTGCGTGCGTCGTTGTTTCCCATCGCGCGTATGATCGCTTTTCCACCAGCTCGACCGATATCGCCTAAAATTAATGACTACGTGAACGCGTGTACATATAATAATAAATACACAGCATCAGTCGATCTTGTGGCGCGCCGCCACCGGCTGGGGATCGTAAGGTTTTGCGTTGTGTCCGACGTAGCGATTGTTCTTGCGATGTACGAACCCGTCCCTGGCGTCGGCCCTGTAGTACACCACCCTGCGTATGCCGAACGGATCGACGTAGCCGAAGGAGCCGAGGCTACGCTCCGGACCCTGACGCTCCTCCTCGTGGTACTGTTTCTTCAGGTAGTACTGGAAGCCGGTGCCGTTGTACCGCATGTGGCCTCTGAAAACCGTGACCAAACGATTTTTCATCATTTACCGTACATGGCACGAACGTATGGAGGGACAAAAAAAAGGGAAAAACCTAAAGGCCGACGGGGCAGCGCGAACCCGGTTGGTGGTCTGGCTGGCCAGGTGGTTCTGGTCCTGGTCGAGGTAGGGCGGCTCGACGAGGAGGGCCGGCCGGTAGGAGCCGCGCTGGTACTTTTGGGCCTTATTGACGGGGTCGTCTTTGGTGTAGGCGATGGGCCTCGGAGTCGTCACCACGATCGGCCTCAGTCTGTGGGTGCGTGTCGGAGCGTTTTATCAATCCGCTCGAGGCAATGTACATCATTGCTTTGCTCATATGTATACGTACCGGAAGGAGGCCGGCGTCGAGGGAACGTAGGTGGTTTTGCGCAGTGGCGTCGCGCTGCTGCTCTCGATGCTGTTGCTCGAGACGTCTTTGAGCTCGGGTCGTCTGGAATAACCAAAGTACACGCAACGTTTACGTGGTCATGCATATTGGCGATCGAGGCGCTACTATATAATATAACGTGAGTCGAAATGTTACCTGAACGGATTGGCGGGCCGGTGGGGTCTCGCGAGTTCGCCGCCGCTGGCGGGATCGCTCTTCGACAGGCTCACCGCGTCCTGTATCGGCCTGTTCTTACCCACGAATATCATCTTGGATCTGCAAGCCAAGGAGATGTTTTTTTTTTTTTTTTTTTTTTATTTGCAGAGATCGGTACTACGTGGTAGTGCAGTTGCGAATGATTTGGGATGAAAAAAAAAGGGGTGAAAGATTCGGTTGGCAGGGGCAAGAGAGTAACGGTCGTACTTGAGTATCCGAAAGCCCTTGGCGTCGGCGATGTAGTCCTTGATCCTGAGATAGCCGAGGGGATCGAGCCAGCCCTCGGTCCCGACGACCGTGCCGTCCTGCAGCCTCTTTTCCTTCCGGTACTGGCCGTTGAGGGTCTGGAAGCGAAAGTACCTTTCCGGCCCGTCGTCCGTCTGCACGTGGTACTGCGTCTCCGGGTCGGTTTTCCAGCCGCTCCTCTCGGCCTCGATCTCGTCCGCCGTCAGGCTGCAGAGGACCACCGACATCTGCGACTCACCGACACGACAAAGCTCGTTAATCACACATACTTTTTTCATCGATTTATTTATTCATTTATTTATTTATGCTAGTTTTTGTTGCTGTACACGCGTACGTATAGGCCTGACAGCTCTGCTACTATACACGAATAACGCATATATAATACATGTACGTGAGAATATACGTGAGGGTGTCGTTGTTACTTTCACACACACTAGTACGTACTTATCCAATGTAGAAACGAGGGTCGGGAAGAACGAGGTTTTTAAAAAAATGGTCATTCTACGGGCAACGCGGTCCGTTATGGGGCGATAAATCATCCGGTCTCGTTCGGAAAGTACATCATACGGTTAACGTTCGTGGCGTTTTGATGCGCTTGGCAGATTGCGAGGTAAGTGCTCGTGCAAAACAAGGATACGTACATGGGAAATAAAACTAAGTATGAACAAAGCATTCGAGCGAGGAGCAGATATTTCACAACTGATCGACACGATCGAGCAAAAGGAGATTTGGGTTGTTGTTAAAATCGGTAAATAAAAGTAAAACAATCTCAGAGAGTAATGAAAACAAAAAACAAAAGTGAACAATTAAGCAGGCACGGTTGCCCAAATCCCGCGAGCACGAGACAGGACCACTGTGGATCGCGTTTGTCACCCACAGCGTCGACGGACGGGGAATCCCCTTCCCGTATAAGAGCAATTGCCGCGCGTTACTCAACCGTTGGATTACAAAAACTCGCGGTTGGGCAAAAAACAAACGACTCATCCCCCCATGTGGATTTTTTCCGCTCTATCTCGCGCACGAAATAATAAATAATACAATAGGAAAAATAAAGGGCTCTCATATGTACTAATCACTTCTTTATTTGTATATATATATATAGCTATGGTGTATATGCAAACAATAGCATGTACATGTATGTTATACGCTGGCTCCTTTTCGCGTCCAGCTCCAGTAGCCCCCCCCCTGATTACGTCACGACGCGCAAACACACACGTACACAAACTCTCGGCATCAAGGTGGCAGCCGCGTTTCGTTTCCTTATCGGGTACAAGGTGGTTACGTGTCGAGAGAGCAAACCGGCTGGCGGCTTTGCAGCTGGACCCGACGACGGATGAATCGAACGAGTACGCGGTTGTAAGGGGGTGGTCATGTGTGGGAGAGAGCTCGAGACGATTTCGATTCCTTTTTTTCATTAGTGCGGCGAACCAGTATAGTTTTGCGAGCCCCCCCCCCCTCCTTTCCTTTCCTCTCGCGCGTATATACCTGTACATGTCCCCTCTGTTCTCCCGGGAGGGTAGCCGACGCTGATGTATAATTACGCCGGCGTGTGAAAGCAATGGAACGCAAAACAGAGAGAGAAAGGAAAATTTATGATTGGAGGCCTCCGTACGTATATACATACACGCGGCGCAACGGAGCTGCAGTTTAGCAATTTTCATTCTGCGAATGGATGTATAGGCAGTTATGCTGATTCTCACTGACCGGCTGATTAATTCCCGTCAGAGGAACGAGGTAGCTTTTGTTGAGCCAACGGGGGGTGGGCGTATACGTATACGGATACTTTGGAGCCATTTCGATTGCGTCGAGGAAAATTAGCGTGGGTCCCATACTTTGTGGATAATATAAATGACTTGCGTGTATATACGCGCGTCAAGTGTCGAGGACGTGCGTCCGTTGATTGCTATACAGGATTATATGTTGTACTTTGTAGGGATGATTATTGGCTAATTATCAAACGAATCGCACCTATGTGTGAGCGTAAGGTAATACATGTACGTGTACGTGTGTTTCTTTTATTACAGGGTAGAGAGGAAAAACAAAATTGCTACTCCAAAGTTGACGGAAGCGAGTATCTTGAGACGCACGAGTGTCTGATGTACAGTTACCAATTGACACGTCGGGCCTATCGAGAATATATATATCCCACAATTACCAGAGATAATATGTGTATGTAGAGGGCATGGGTGTGTTGAGGTAAGTAATCAAATAGACGAGTACCGCAAGCTAAAAGATATTATACCGGTGGCCGATGACTTAATATCCCCGAGAGTGTCCAAATAAGAGATGAGGCTCTTCCAAGGTTCAGTCAACTCTACGAGCACAGGGTGACGGTATCCCATTGTACGTCGGATATAATAGGACACAATATATAAGTATAGTCGTATGATGATTATTATCGTAATTATTGAGCCGCCGTCGAAAATCTTCATTAACATTATTATGGGCAAGGATAGGAAAAAAAAAAAAAAAAAAAAAAAAGTTAATATGTCATGCGTCAAGGACTACTTACAACCACTACTGTCCTTGTTCTAATGATTACAACGCTCATTCAAGAATTTCGAATGGCTCGATGAAAAGGCCAAGAGTGAGGCAACCCGATGGTCTCTCCTTTGGACTCGAGGAACACAAAGGAATAGATTTCACGCGTACTCATGCCACCGGTGTACAATACGTACAACAGTCAAAGAAAAGCCCTCGAACAGAAGTCGAAAAGAAAATACGCATATCGACGTCACCGATATTATACCAAAGATTGCGCAAAAGTTGTATGTAGATGTGTTGTGCCAACGATCGGTATAGGTAAGAGGAAAAAAAAAAAAAATCGTCCTAACGCCGATCTTTGCACTCCTTATTGAGTCACGAGCCGTACCGGTTGCGCAAGCCAACGCCTTTATCATCATCGCCAAGGAGACCCCTCGCAGCAGCTGATCCACATTTAGTCACTCGATTCGAAAAGACGGAAAAATTGAAAAAGACAGCTGTTGCTCCGGTGTTGTTATTCAAAACGAAAAAAAAAAAAAAAAAAAAAAAAAANGACGAAGGTGAGCCCTACACTGCACGTCTTGGCAAAATATATTGTTATAGGTGGTGTACGAGCAGAGTTGAGCTTTAACGGGGCGAGTAGCGAGCTGCGAAATTCTCAATGAGACCACGAGCTTTTTGCTGTACGATGCTCCGTGTGACACGCACATGTTAAAAAAAAAAAAAAAAAAAACACAAGGGAGCCCGAAATGTAAAGGGATGGCGCGCGCCGAGCTGCAGCGTAACGAGAGCGTTTCGTCATATTTCGACCGGCCACGGAGTATTCCCCCATAAGAAAAGGGAACGCAATCTCCTCTTTCTTCTCCCTCAAACTGTGTCACTGCACCGGCATTAAAATAATACCCAAGCCCCAAGCTCGGAAGAAGATCGGGGGAGTAGCGCGAGACGCGGTATTATATACATGTATGTATACACATCGGTAGCTCCTCTGACACCTGTTGACGGCGTGCTCTGTTACGTTAGGCACATATTATAGAGCACGCCGAAGAAGCTCTTCCCGCGATTGCGAGGTGATCTCATTTTTTTTTTTCCCCCTGTTTTTGCTTCTCTACAGGTGTGTGCGTATACTGTCACGGTCAGGGGGCGGGGGGAGGTGAAACGAGTTTCCGAAGCTCATCTCTTTATGGTATATACCTGTACGCGTTTGTGCGCGTGAAGCGCGTTACGGCTATAATCGTAAAGTTGCACCTACGAGCGTGCAAAAGAGGGAGGGAGCGAGAAAAATCTGCAAATTCACCTCCGAGGTAATCTTGGCAACGTCAAAAGCTCGCGTTGATTTACGCTTCCATTTTTTTTTTTTTTGTTTTTGTTTTTCGCTCTGAAAAATCGTATTATATACATATGGCACAATATATTATACGCCTCGTGTGGGAACTTTGTTGAAAGTTACAGAGGCTTGTTTTCATTTTTTTCACGTTAGCAGCAACAATGTGCCCCACATTACGCGCGCGCGTGGATATTAGATGATGGTGGCAAATGATGAATCCTTGAGTCTTCGTGGCTACTTCAAGTGCAATGAATCGAACGAAGGTCACCACGTATAACACCCCGCGATCTCATCGAGGTGTGTCGACTCTCCGTTACGGTACTCAATAATCATGAAAAACAATTGAAAATGGCACAGATAGCAAACCCGTATACATATATTATACACAATTCTCCATTCATACACGCGTATCATATTAATTGAATCCGATCGACGCGTGTGTTTTAATCAAGTTATCCTATACGCCCTCTCCCCCTCAACCCTCCGAACGAAAGACGTCTCACTTATGCACCCAATCGTACACCTGCGTGCGGCACATTGTACATTACGCGCGCGCTCTTTCTGCGGAAAATAAAACCCGATCGGTCACGCCTTTTTTTTTCCTCACACACGCTATACGTAAAATCGTCTACTCCCTCGTTGTACGGAGGCGCTCGAGAGAAAGATACCGATCTCTCTTGATATAGCCTGTACAGGCTTATTCATGCGGGAATCTGCTTTTGTTTTAATTAACGACAGGGCGAGAGGCGCGATTACCGAGGGGGCGTTTAAAACCATTTGGGGGCATTTTACGGCCGATCGAAATGAGCTCTTTTCCCCCTCCATGAATGATAATTGATCGGCAAATACCCCATATTTTGCGTAGAGAACATCACCTGCGTGGTGGTCGTTGTACGTAAGCAGGTGGAAGGCGATCACGAATAGAGTCATTTGGGAGGAAGAAATCAAATTAAGAGCAACAATGTCACGCGCGAGCCAGACTCTAATTTCCATGTCACGTATTTTAATGGTACGCGTGATGCCTTGTAAAATACACACGGACGAAGAAGAAGAAAAAAAGGTAAAACGAGAGTAGCGTGCAATTCGCACAATTGAATTGGCGACTGTGATCCGCGCGGCCGTCGTGTGGTGCAGGAACGCGAACCGGCAGCGATTAAGCAACCGGCCCCATTGTCCCGCTGCGCTGGTGGAATACAAAATGGATGTAACTATATATACACACACACACACACATTAATATAACACATGAATTAAATTAACAGGTAGGGAAGATCTGTGCGCGGGTATATAGGTATCGTGTATAAAGACGAGCCGGCAAAAAAGGTCAGGACAGAGCGTCTCGACAACAGTCTTGGCTGATGGCTGCTGCTTCGTGTCACGCGACACTGAAATATTTGTGTTAGGTACAAGATGTAC